TAGATTAGATAGATTCGATTCGATAGATAGATAGATTAGATTAGACTAGATTAGACTAGATTAGACTAGACTAAACTAGACTAGATTAGATTAGATTAGATAGACTAGATAGGTTAGATAGATTAGATAGATCGGATAGATCGAATAGATACGATATATAGATAGATTAGATAGATTAGATAGATTATATACATTATATAGATATAATAGATAGGCGAGAAGAGAAGAGAAGAGAAGAGAAGAGAAGAGAAGAGAATAGAATAGAATTAGAATAGAATAGAATAGAATAGAATTAGAATAGAATAGAATAGAATAGAACAGAACAGAGCAGAGCAGAATAGAATAGAATAGAGAGGATATGGTAGATAGGGTAGATAGGGTATATAGGGTAGGTAGGTAGGTAGGTAGATAGGTAGATAGATAGATAGATAGGCAGACGAATGGATAGATAGATAGATAGACAGACAGATAGATAGATAGATAGACGGATAGATAGATAGATAGATAGATGGATAGATGGATAGATAGATGGGTTGATTGATTGGTTGATTGATAGATGGATAGATAGATACAACTACAACTACCACTACAACTACCACTACATGACATTACACTACACTACACTAGACTACACGACACTTGCTGCACTACACTACACTACATTACACAACACTACACTAATGACACTGCACAACACTACGACTACAACTACACTACACTACACTAATTACACTGCACCACATCACAACTACAACTACACTACCTTACGCTAGACTACACTACACCTACACAACACTACAGGACATGATGCTGCACTACACTACACTAATTACACACCACGACTACAACTGCAACCGCACTTGCAAATACACTAATTACACTACATTACAGCTACAGCTCCACTACACTACACTACAACTACAACTACAACTGCAACTACAACTACAACCACTACACCACACTACATCCAGCAGTTGTGGTAAGGTGACCGCTGCAACCATTGCAACCATTCCAAAAAACACAACTCCAACCACCTGTCGGTCCATCAGTGGATTCGCTCTGCCATCCGTGATTCACAACAACCAACCTCTCCTAGAGGTTTCCTATTTTTGAAACTTCCGCCACCGCCTTGTGTGGTACTACTGGTAATGGAGATGGTATAATCAACCCCTTATGGCTGAGAAAAGCCGGTGATGATGGTTAATATGGTCACCCGTTCTTACTGGCGATAGAATGGGATTTTTTTCCTCAAGAATTCGGGTATAATCAACAATAGCCCATGGCCATACCCAGCGATTAGCAGTTTAGGAGCCATTCAAATCCCTTCCCTACAACTCTTAAAACACCCAGCAGCAATCTGCTGATTGATTGACTTCAGTGTATCTCAACGGGGATGATTGGGGAAGGGGTAAAACATAGTTATCCTTTGGTAATCAAACATAGCAACATAGCAATGGAAAATTGTCTTTTTATAGACGATGTTCCCAGCTAGAAACCTCCAGAAAATCAGAGATGATCGTCTACTCAACAACCAGAAACAAGGTTCAGGGACTCCAACCCCAGCTCAGTGCTTAACGCAGGAAAGTCCAAAGTCAGCCATCTTGGCAGTACCTGGTCACGTCGACAACTATCCATGGCCACTGTGGAGGGAAAGGGAACTGCTTGGTAGTTTCCTAGCCGTCTAATGTCATAAGAATCCGAACAAAGTATGCGGATTCTACCAAACATTACCGTCATATTGTATCTCTATATGCGCATATCGTAGCAACTTCAAAAACTAGGGTGTTTTGAATGCCACCACCAGCCACATGATGTCCACATGCTCGCCACATTATGCCACATTCATCCCAAACATGTTGGCCAATGGCAAGTCATAGTAAGGCTTGGAAGAAAATGTGTGACACCAGCAGCCAATGATATCAACTCCCACGGCTGATCTCAACTTTTCCAGGGCTGTTAAAAGGGGCGGTTTCCTGGCGCTTATGGCAGCGGGTGCCATTCTTGTCGAGCAGGATATTGGGGCCCTTGATGTCTCGGTGAAAGGCCTGACACTGACGGAGACCACGTTTGGAAGTTTCGTGAAACGGAGGCGAAACGGAGGTTCTTTAAGGTTGCTGGCCTCTGCGAAATTCATGTGTTCTAGCTAAAACACTAGAGATTTTCCAGCTAAATCACGAGAGATAGTGGATAATTAGTGTGAAACCACTACCTTTAGATGTGTTTAGCTGGATTTCATGCTGGATTCATGTTTGTTCTGCTTCACTAGAAAAGAAAGCAAGCCCATTGCCTCCGATTTGCCGTAACGGTGCCACAATTGCAATTAGCTTCACCAGACATGTTCTCGTACGAGGCGTGGGCAGCAGTGGAACTGTACCATGCCACTTCTTTTACCAACGGTTTCTTGCTATTTCTATTGGTTTACAGTAAAGTTTACAGCCTTTTGAATGCCCCCATCTCAGAACATGACCAATTGAATCCATTGAACCACGTGGGATGATTGGCGACGAGTCCTAGCAACTCAGTTGAGAGTCTTGAGAAATGGGTGTCAATACTCGATTGGTACTAGACCTCTTTTTTTAGCCCCCATATTTGTGGCTGATGATTGACTGATCAGTTGGGTCTGCTAAGTCTGCTAAGCTTGCTCAGTGAAACGATCCTCCCAGTGAGTTTGTTTGAAAATACGCTATGCCGCTATGCCTCAAATCCCCAAACCAACTGGTTCATCATCATTTTCCCAGTTATGCGTTTTTGTCCGGGTAATTCTACTAAGGAGAGGGAGGAGAAAAAAAAACAAGTATCATATTCTTGGAAAGTTGTACCCCATGATGCCCTTATGATATCCGAATAAATCCCCATGTCCAATGGTTACGCCACCATTAACTCCCCTTCATTGTGATTGTCCCAGTATACCCCCATCATATTTCACCAAAACATGGAGGCTTCCAGTTGACGCACGAGCAGGGAAAACCTTCTTCGAAGGGGGGAGGAAAAAAACCGCCGTCGTCCAAACAGCCAACGCTCTAACAACCAGCACGATTGTGTCCCACAAATCCCCATGATATCCTCATGATGCCTGGACTTTCTCCCTCCAACTTGGTTGCTTTCCCTCCAAACTAACATAGATGTGGAAAAACAAGGCAACCGGTTGACTCGGCGCCCTTGTAAGGGTGACGAATTTGAAATTCTGATTTTTGAGGCTAAGAGACAAAATGCTGGTATTTGCAGGAGTCGTCAAAAAATGTTTGCAACATGGACATTCATTTCGATTGGCAGGCGTGTGACTCAAGAGTGAAAATGTGCGTTTCGCCTGCGCGGTGACTCGATTTTGCTCTTCAAGGGTCAAGAAAAAAACATTAGAAATTTATGATTTTCAATCATCCGAATCATATCAGGGCGACATTCACTCTTCCAGTTTTTTCCTCTTCTCGACGCTAGCGGTGCCAGAGAGCTTGTGGCAATGCAGAAGCCACAGTCTGCAACAAGGCAGCGTTGTGACGCCATGTCCAGCTGTAGGCCCAAGTGTACCTTTTTTTGTACACGTTTTGTTTTTTTGTGGGGCATCGACGGAGGTCGCCATTTTTTCAAGTGTTTCCATGTTCCATCCATTTGTTGGGTACCAGCAACAATGGCTCTATAGGATTTATCCCACAAACGACCTCGAAAATGATAAGTCTTAGTCTTAGTAAAGATATTTTGTTTGTGGTTGACTTGGGCCAACTTGAACCTTTTGTGGGGATAATCTTTGACACAACTGACAGCATGTGCAGCGTTTGCATCTTCCGTAACGTAAAGGAAGTGCTCGTCAGGGACGTTAATACACCCCCCACCCCCACCCCCCCTGATGATCATACGACAGCATGTGCAACATGTGTGCATCTTCCGTAACGTAAAGGAAGTGCTCGTCAAGAAAGTTAATGCACCCCCCCACCCCCCACCCCCACCCCCCCTGATGATCATACCACAGCATGTGCAACATGATAAAAACTCAAAAAAATCAAATCCTATACCCCCATTTCAGCAAGCCTCATTTTTGAAATTTGCAACCCTTCCAAGGGATCGTAAATGGCACATCTCAAAATTGGCAACCCTTCCAAGGGCGCCGTATCAGCCGCATGCCAAAAACAACCATCCGTGGATCATAATCACAGTGAAACCATGGGGGGTTCCGAAATCGACATGAGTTTACCTCATGGTAAATCCAAGGTCCAAATGGTATTTTTAAGTGAAACATGCTGGGTGTCCTACTGGACCTTGAGCCTATGATTTCCATGGCTTACTGGAAAATCCTCCCATCAATGGGAATTCCAGGATGCTAAAATGGAGGTACGTTAGTACCATATTTTTGACCATATTTAGTGGGGATATCCCTTTACATAGCCCTGAAAAGTAGACCTTATATATCTCTCCAGCGCCATCAGTTCAGTCCCTGATGACTATTAATGACTATGAATAACCACCATTACCCTCTGGTAATTTAACATAGCGAACTGGAAAATCACCATGTTTCATGGGAAAATCCACTATTTCAACTGGGCCATTTTCAATAGCTATGTAACATATTACCAGAGGGTATACCATCATATATCCTAACAAATCCCATTAAATCCCACTAAATCACCATTTTTAATAGGTAAATCCACTATTTCAATCACCATTAATCACCATTAATCACCATGAATCACCACCATAACAATGGTAACCGAGCCGCGCGAGGCGTCACATTGTGCAGGTGCGACAGGCCACAGGCCGCGTCCACGGCGGCGGAGAGCCGGGCGTTCCAACGGAACCTGGGCGCCGGTGACGGGGCCATGGGGACGAGCCGCGCGGTGCCAAGGTAACACCCAAAAGGGATGGTAAAAGGAAGACATCCCACTAGAAATCGTGATAAACTAGTGATAAATCCATGATCAATCAGGATTTTCGATCTTTTCAGGATGATAAATCGGGTGAAGTCGTGCTTTTTGGGGGGATTCACCAACAAAACCGCAGGGATTTCTGTGATTTAACCCACACAAAATCTCCATCGGGAGAGCGGCGGTTTTTAAAAAACGGCGGTTCTGTGCCACAGGGAAATCCCTGCCCAACATTGACTGCAGATGGAAGCCTGGTTTAGTATTGGATTTATTCATCCAGGGACTAAGATATATATATATATATATCTATATATCTATATATGTATGGAATATATAAAATAATATGTATACAATATAATATATGGAACCATTGATATAATAACCATAAATATATATATATATATGGAACCCTGTTTTCATTGTTGCGGCCAAAATAAAGGGAATTAAAAAAATAGCAATATTAAGATGTATCATATTTAGGGACAATTCAGGACGATCATACAATCAGCGAAAAACGCATATCAGATTGTGGGATATTATCAGGGAATAGCTATAGGGATCTAAAGTGGAGCTACTGATCTATCTAAGGTCCTACGCAAAGAGTATGTAAGGGAATACACCACCAAAATATGGAGGTCTCCTAAACTAGAACTAGGGGCGCCCCCAGTTCTCATCCAGCGAGCTTGGGGTCCCATGGCTATGGCGAACATCTCACTAAATGGGCACCTGAATGGCATCTACTAGAGCCACTGTTTCAAAGGAAAAAGGATTTGTTACACTGAAATTTTGTGTATACTCTGGATGTTCATATCATTCTCAACTGTATGATACGAAATTATATATGTCTATCTGCGCGTGTGTGTGTGTGTGTGTGCCAAGGTAATAAAATTAGAAAGTCATGTATGTAATGTCCACCAATATGCTAAATATCTTTGAATCTATACATATCTATACATATTGTATAGAAACTATTAGTATATAGTCAGTATAGACCGTATGTAACATAAACCAGATTCTCGTCTGGCCACGTCTGATTACTGAGGATATACATATATATATATATAGCATGATGCATCCAGCATCATCCGGTTCCATAATGATGGCTGAATAATCTGAATATGAGACCTGTAGTAGTCACAACTATCTAGTGATATTGACATTTTTTTGGAGCTAGCTATCATTACCATTATTGTCCGTACATGAAAAAATCACTATTATAGCTATCACTGTATCATGTTAATGGCTGCTAGTTATCATTATCATTACTATCATTATCGTCATTATTATCATTATGATTATTACGATCTTTGTTATCATTATTATCATTATATATTATCATTATCATCATTGTTATCATTATTGTAATAATATAAATCGTTATATCATTCTCACTATATCAAACCAATAATACTAAACCATTGTATATATATGTATATTATATCATAGTACTCTAGAGCAATTATAGTATAAACAAATATCGTCATGACCACGACCCATGGAGGTTCCATTTTTTAATAACCAAGTCACGGCTCGAGCTGCTGACGACTCCGTTGCAGACGCTTGCTGACCTGGGAATTAACATAGACCCTGGCAGTCATCGGGGTTGGAAGATGAGTTTCCACTCAAAATGGGTCATGTTCAGGGTCCAACTGTTTATTTACCATAGGGTATATGATGTGGATAGAAATGGGCTGAAAAACCGGGATATTTTCAGTGGATTGTTGAATTCTGTATTTTTTCGATAGCTAGGTGAGCCACGAAGAGCCCCAGTCAGAGAAATATTGCGCCTTCACTAGGGTATGGATATCATAGATGGGATAAAATGAATGATAGTCTCCGTTTTTTGAAATAGAACTTTAACCAACCATCATGTTTTTTGGATATGATAAATTCCCCTTGGTTCCATGACTCCTCCGAAACTTGGGTTAATTTTAAGAGTAGTCCCTTCAGATTCCCCAGGTGATGAATTCTCCCATTGGAACAAAAAATCATCTTCAACAAATCAAGGATAGTCAATTTTTTTCCAGCTCTACATCTCCATTGATAGTGGATTGTCCAAAATATTTTTCCATTACCATATGGTTATGACTAACATAGCCATGGAAAATCCCAACCATAAATGGAGATGTTAGTTTTAGCTGGGAAAATCATCTATTTCGATTAGGGCCATCTATTCCATGGCTATGTTAGTCATAACCAGAGGGTTAACATCCATTTTCCTATGGGTTTTCCTATGGTTTTCCCATGAAAAAACCTTCATTTTCCTATGGTTTTCCAAGGAAAACGCTTCCGACATCTTCCCCGGGATCTGGGTTCTAGCCACATCGCCCCCGGCGAGGAACTCGTAGATCAGACTGCGCCACCCCCTGAGAAACTCAGGGCTGCCATGGGGTTGCCATGGGGTTCTTAAATGGAACGCTGGGAACTACGAATGGACCATTTTTGATTATATAAATATAATTACAATATATACATATACATATATATATATAACACATATATTAGAATTATTATTATTATTATATTCAGATATATAATTGATGGAATATCAATACCCAGATTGGGTTGTTATGGTCGATTTTGGTACTATTGACCATTTTGGTTCTTATCAACTCTCCATTCTGGGGGTACCAACTCAATTGAACTGAACCAGGTGCTTGTTTTCTCATCCACTCGTGAATGAGGATATCTAGAGCGTTACAGTGGTACCGTACAAACATGTTGCTTGCGATCCTCCAGACTTGTACAATATTGTACGCCCGCTTGAATTGAGGATGGGGCGGAACGGGAGCCGTTCCGCATCGAATGAAATGTTTGAAATGTTGCACCGAAACATGGAAGATCGAACATGCAACGAATCATGTGACGCCCGTGGCAGGCCCCACAGTACCACGGGAAAATGATCGGCTCGGTGCCATTCCTGCTAGTAGCTACAACCCTTACCCTCCAGTCAACATAGATATGGAACATCCACCATGAAAAGTACATGTTCTAAGGAAACCATGTTTTGTTTTTCCATATCCCATCGTTAAATGTTATGCTGATCTCAAAATTGTAATTTGCACCGGCGATCTCATCTTCCAGCCTCATTCTCGAGGTTCCATGAGTTTTCACTGGGGTATGTTCCTCAAAAAAAAACATTGGCGCGGCCACCCACCATTTTCGTCGCAACGGTGAAACGTGGCCCCACTTTCATGCTGCGCCACAGGAGGCTTACAAACAGCACAAAGATTGCAGGCCAGGAACCAGAAACTTGGCCAATGGATATTTGAGACCGGGATTCGCGGCTGTCAGCAAAAAGAAACACTAGGGGTTCAAACATGCCAAACCAATCCTGAAAATTGGGTACTTGAGGTTGCTTGCTCTATGAAACAACCTGGTCGGTTGTGCTTACAAACCGAAATTTGCGCGCATCACCAGTTGTATATCTTGTCGACTTGTTGTGCCCGGGTCATTAGATAGCGGCGTAGGCTCACTAGAATTGAAAGCTGCCCATTTTCCATTCATAATCAGAAAACAATGAAGGGCAACGGGGAACGGCATATACAGTAATTGCAAAAACATGCGTAAATAGGATATTGTATCAATGATCTTAACACCTATTCAAAGACATCTCATTCCAGGTTTGAATTTTCAAGGGTTGGGTCACCTATCGTTTCAAAATCGAATCTAAGTGTGCTGCACTTGACTGAGGTTTGAGGTCCCGTGTCACAGCAATCGGGCAACGAACGAGGCCAAATTCTGTGGGCCAAGGCCAAGGGGTTGGCCGAAAGACCCAATGGCCCAACGCTTTGGTCACGAGCGTGGCTGGGGATTGTGATCATCTCCAATCTTGGATAGCATAACGCCATGCAATCATCAATCAACAGGCTTCTAATTCTAGATCATATGATATGAATATGTTCGACCACCATTGCTCCGTCAAAAAACCATTCCTGGAGAAGCCCTTTTTGGGTGCCGAAAAATGCCGAAAAAATCGCGACCGTGACCTTCCGCTGGCGGTTCGGATGGCTCATCCCGCTGCAAACAGGGCGATGAATCTGGGGACCAGCTGTGGATCAATCACTTGATATCACCTGACCTGCGGAAAATGTCCGAGAATCATCGGGCATCATCGATTCTTTGAAGATACCCTCTGGTAAACTAACATAGCAATGGAAAATCACCATTTTTAATGGGAAAACTCACTATAAATGGCCATTTTCCATAGCTATGTTAAATTACCAGAGGGTATCGGTTGGAAAGTGGATCTACAAGTCACATCCAGGGGATAGAAAGTGACCCACGGCCCAAAAATATAGATGCTCCACGGCACATGACTTGGTCATTGAGCCGGGGGAATTGAAAACATGATCTGCCAAGATGGATCTCTGTAGAAAGGATGATTCATGGATCTGCCATGTCTATTCATCTCCTTTTGGGAAGAAAGTGGAAGAAATCTCTGGTCCCATGTTGTATCTCACACCTTGGCCGATGTTGATCGCTTGATTCAGGTCTTTTGCATGGCTTTGCCCGAAAAAAAGTGATCATGTGCTGCTAATACAGTGGTACTCCCAATTGGGGGGTTCACAAAGCTACTAAAAGAATACTCGGAAATTTTGGATAGCCAGCGGTGTGATTCGTCCGGGCTTCACATTGATCTGAGATTATTGAAAACAACTCATATCTCCCCATGAAATATCATATAATTATCCCATTGTAGTCACTATATCCCCCTTAAATCCCAAGTATACCATAGTATACCACGATTTTTTCTCGGTGTCACCAAGTCATGTCTGATCCATCTCGACGTCACATGGATCGCCGCCGAGTCATGCTGCAGGTGAAGTCGCACCGGCAGAGCACTTTCGCACCAGCTGAGCTTCAACGTGGCCGTTTTTATCACTTTCGTTTGGAGAAACACACACCATGCACAAAATAAGGAAGGTTCATGAATTATCCCATCCCAAACACACACAAAAAAAAAACATATGGAATATGTTAGGGCGCATGGTGTTGAAAAAAAATATATATCATTCTAAAGTGCTTGGAGTTCCTGCAGTTGAGATAGGAAAATCTACATCAAATCACCCCCTTCACCGGGCGCCGGCCACCACTCAGGTCACCAAGAATTTCGGCCTAGTGCAGGATCTCGGGCTGGGGACTAAAACCGACTGTGAGCCGCCTTGCTGGTTTGGGACTCTTTGCACACTGACATCCTGAAAAATACCATGTGATGATATTTGAATCCATCTGCCTCCATTGAAAAAAAACAGATGTGACAAATGAAGTCACAGAATCCTCGTGATGATTTTTTGACAATCCCACAATTCAGGAGCTGTGCATCTTAAACTCAAAACATCTCAAATCCAAAAAACAAATCTCCAGTTCAGGGAAATCATCTTCCAGGAACTCCAACTTGCCACGTTCCAACCACCCCTGGCCCCCAACCTCACTCCGGCGGCGGTGGGGGCGGCGGCGGCGGTGGCACATCCTCCGTGACGACCCCGCCAGTCGCAGGGTCTACATGAGCAGGCCTCAAGCAGTTCTGTAGTTTTGGGTGTGTTGGGCTATTTTTCCCTCTCTCTCTCTCTCTATATATATATATATACCTATATATGTATGTATATATGTATGTATGTATGTATGTATGTATGTATGTATGTATGTATATTTATATATATATACACCTATATGTGTATATTAGTGTATATATATATATATAGAGTATTAGATCTTAATAAGATATACATGTCTTTGTTCATTCATCTATTTAATCTATTTATTTGTTATACCAACCATGGTTTTGTTTGGTCAATTGCCAAGGGGTTTTATCAAGCAAAATGCAGAAGCTATAAGGGTTGAATCCTCTTCCGTCATAGATTCCACAGGTTAAACCAAGCAAATGCTGAACAGATGTTTTTGCTACGGGGAAGCGATGTTTTAAGGGACTCACATTCTGGCTCCAGCAAAGAAAGCCATGATTTTGGAAAATCGTTATAGAAATCATTGTCCTACCGGAGTTGCTGTGGATGTACAATTGCCATGTTGGATTATTACCACATTGCCATGCAAGCCCTTGATGGGGATAAATTGTGGTTGTCATAGCCCGTTGTAAGCGAGCCTTTTTCTTTTAATGGGGGTCATGTTCCTGAACGTAGGGGCCATACCTGGTTGCCTGGCCATCAGTTTTTCGCGGGCTGACTGATCTGTTTGATGGTCACGACCGCACCATCTCAGTTCTGATGCCACCTGCTTCTTGGGCTCCACCTGATTTCCTTTGATGGATCTTGGGACTGCAATCAACGATATCAACGCCCGAGCAGTAAGCCCTGGTTGATTGATTAGGGGCTCCCCCTAAATAGTGATAAGCCACAAAAATGGTCCCCGAAAACCCCCATTTGAACAATCCAGGCTACGGGGCTGATATGGGCTGATATGGGCTGATAACCATCCCAGAGGACTTCCCAGCAAAATGCCAGAACGATGTAAGGGAAACTCCAAAAAGACACAAGGGAAACCAACCAGTTTCTTGCATGTTTCTACCCCTCAAAATAGGAATGTCAACTGTAAATGTTCCCATCCTCCACTTTCGCGGAATCGTATCCCCATCCTAATCACCAAAATCCACGTTGCGGATGGATTTTGGTACCTCTCCCAGGCAACTTTGAGTTGTTACGCACTTAGTCGCCCGGCGCTCGAAATGGCTTTCCACAACAGAGGCACCGGTCCGCGCCTCGATTTTGGGATTCTATCGTCTCAAGGGGGTGCCAAGTTTTCAAGTTTTATGATGGTTATACGGTTATCATTTGCAACAATCAGAATCTCAAAGAATCCATGGACCATGGAAAAATTGGAAAATAAATGGCTACACATGTGATTTTTTTCAGAAAAGCATATGCCTACGTGCATACATAGACATATAATTTATATAAGCTGCAAATGATCGATGTGTTTATTCCATTTTAATCCATGTTATAAAGGTCTTCGGGCAAACTGACCATGATCATCCTCAGCAAATACCAACACTTCGATGGTATTGAGTGATGGATGGATTGTACACATCTACTCTGGTTGGTGGTTGAGCCCTACCCCTCTGAAAAATATGAGTTCATCAGTTGGGATGATGACATTCCCAATATATGGAAAAATGAAAAATGTTCCAAACCACCAACCAGTACTTGTGTTATCTTGTGTTATCTTGTGATTCAGTGCAGTTTGGCAGGGGAGGCTTGTTTGGGGGGTAATCCCATATGAAAATTTGGAAGTTGAAAAGGGACTGGAATGATACATCAACATGGCAGACAGAGATCAAAATGACATGCAGTGAAAGACACCCACTGCCTCTATGTCAACCCTGCTGGAACGCTAGTTCCAAGGCTGGGAAAAGAACGCCTTGGTTATTCCAAGTATGAGACCATCCAATTTGTTTAATATTTTTTGGGGGCGCGCACCCGCTACTCCAGCCCGGTACCTAACAATGAACGTTCAGCATGGAAGTGTGCCCCCACACACTGCCACCCTTTTTTTCACACGTTTTGTAAGCAATGTCGAACTCACCGGATGGATGCCATATGTTTCACCCAAGCATAGCTGGCGAAATCTCGGGTCTTCTGCCCCTTGCTGGTGCAGTAGAGCCCCAAGCAGCTGCCGGTATATCCCAGACTCAGCACAAGCCCTGCGGAGCTTTCCGCGCAGGGCGTGAAGTTCGCGCCATCGTCCAAAGAATATTCCTGAGAGAATCAAGGGGGGGGATCATTGGGGAAACCCACTTCCCACCTGGAAGAAACCACATCAAAAAGGTAATGTAGTGGAGTTGAGCTCGCCACCGGGCATCTCCAAAAAAAAACAACTCCAACAAAAACAGCTGAGCGAGTTTGGGTTTGAGGCTCGAGCTTTGAGTTCCAGGAGTGTTTCACACCAAGAGTCGGGCTTCACACAACAAACACTTACTGGGATTCGGGATTCCTATCAACCGCAACATACCTTTGTTGCGTACCTTTGAAAGTGACATCCTTTTTTTGGTCCATCATCACCCAGCTTCAAAAAAATATGTGTGATCAGCAGATCGGATCTTGAGAACGATGCTGCCGGCATAGCCAATCTCTGTGCTGGAGATCTGTTTTTCATCCTTCTCCTTCTCCTTTAGGGTCACAACCAAGGTGGAGCTAACTGCATTCACGGTGAAGGTGATGTAGTTGTCATCTTTCTGTACCTGAAAAATTGAGGGCGCAAAATTTCAATCATCGCCGCCACGGATTTTGGGGCCTTTACTCAGTTTTTGGTGGTCGTAATGGCAGCCTGGTGCAATCAATTATGAGGATGAGGTACTATTTGGTAGGTGACTATTTGGGCTGGGGCTGCAAAGGTCGAAAATAAGAAAAATAAGAACAATTTTTAAAAAATATCAAAACATGAAAATATTCTTAAAAATAAGATAATTGCGCATAAAAACAACTACAAGCACATAGGGAAAAATAAGAAAAACTAAAAAAAATGGAAAAATAAGAAAAAAATTGTAAGAAATAAGAAAAATAAGAAAAAAATAGTTTTTTATATACTGTATATATATATATATAATTTTAAAAAATCGGGCCCTCCAAGGTTTTATATATATTTAATTGTTTTCATTGGTTGCCCTCCCAGCAGGTGCCCCACTAGATAGCGCACTGGTTTTCACATAAGATGCAAGTTCTGGAACCACCCAGGAAATGGCTTCTCAATGTCGTCGCGATTCGTGACGTCTGTGTTGGATATTTATGGATACCATCCGGCAATCAAACATTGCAATGGGAAATCCATGGAAATCCTCCCAGAAATGGAGGTTGATCAGGAAAAGCATCGAAATGGGAGATGTGAACCATTGCCATGGAGCTGATTTCTGGAGGGTATGTCCCATTTAGACTCCAATAAAAGCGGTTTCATGCGATTTCTCGGGCTTCCGCTTGGATGTAGGCGGCGACCTCACTAATCAGCCACCCCAGTGGAGAAACTCCCCTTTTCGGATTATGGCGACTATCCAACTTAGTATATAAGTGGCTGGGAGCTTTTCCCGGAGCACTTGCCATATCAATCCCCGCCAATCCCCGTCCTATCCGTTGAAACAATCCATCATCAAGCCATTGGAGACCTGCAGCTGCCAAGATGCAATGGCCACCCCAGCCTCCACCGAAGAGTTTTGGGATTTGAAATTCATCTGAACGGTGAAGTCAAACTCGCTTTGCCTGCCAAGGACCCCAAGGATCTGGATCGGTCCGCTTCACCCACAACATAGGCTGTTGAGCAACAAGAATTGGGACTTAGCCACAAAAATGAGGGAAGCAGCCAACTAAAACAAAAGTAGGCGTCAAGTAAAACAAAGAACAATGGGTTTGTCTGAAAACAGGCTACCCCTCAATTCACTGGTTGATGATGGTTGATGATGCCATTTGGGAGTATGCCCCATGTTCAGTCCCATATCAATTCCCGGACAAGTTGAAGACCACCTGCCGTTCCGCAAAATCATCTGCTCAAGTCACGTTTGATGCCCTCCGGTAATCAAACGTGGCAATGGTTCACATCTCCCATTTATAGTTGGTTCCCATCATCACAGCATCTTACCCTCTGGTAATTTGTTACATAGCTATTGAAAATGGCCCAGTCGAAATAGTGAATTTACCCAGCTAGAAAATGGTGGATCTTTCCATCGTTTTTTGTATGTTTACCAGAGGGTAAAACCTCCCATTTCGTTCGGGGACTTCCCGTCGCCACAGTTGGCTACCTCTGGCGGATGCCCATGAAGCTACACGCTACGCGCTCGGCCAGCACCTGCGATCTCGCTGCAACTCCAACGGCGTCCCAAGGGATTCTTAGAAAACTGACGTGGAAACATATGGAAACTGACGTAGAAACAATCACCAACAATAGGAATTAAATGAAATGAACTAATGTGAGAAAAATGGGTGGGACCCCATATTTGGGTTGGTCCAAGAGACAGCTTTTTTCGGCAACCAGCGCGTTCTACCCCCAAAACGAAGGTTTTTTTCCGTGGGATGCTGGTTGGTTCAAACCCATCCCAATTTTGAGTTGGTTCAAATCCCTGAAACCTCAAAATGTTGTGTTAGACCCATGGGCTCCTCAATTTTGGCCACAAAAATTAGGGTCAGTTCACGTTGGCAGCCGACTGTTCACACGAAAATAGCTGGCAAAATGGATGTCCCTCCCAAAAAGATTGGGATTTTAATGGATTTCACAGGTTTTGATCCACCAAAAACTTATAAAAACTTCAACTCCAGATCCCCCAAAAGCCGACGCCGGGAACCCCGCTGTCACCTCCGGAGAGGCGTTCAGCTGCAAGTTCTTCGGTGCCAACTTGTAGGTTCCATCCTTTGGAGCCCTGCGAAAGAGCCATTCCGGGCCCAACATCTCCTGGCAGCATCACAGATTCGTATCCGTTGCTATTCCCATCATATCCCCATTCTTCATTGGATTGGTTGAATGGAAAATCTACAGGAAACCATGGCTTTTATCATGAAATATATGGGGTTCCTGAAATTTTTCCCTTAAACGAATCCCATGAATTATACCAGCATATTTGTCGCTTCATCATGTTTCTTTGTGAAATCACCATCACAATCATCACAATCGTGGTTGGTTTTTAGTGTTTTTTTGCCCCAATTCTTCCAAGTATCCAAGTCCTTCAATCCCCGAGACTCTCGCCTCAAAAAATCCGCTCATGTGCTCATAGTTTTTTTTGGTGAAATCATCGCCCTGTCATATAGGTGTTCAGCAATGTCATAAACTACCCATATTTTGATGAGTCTATACCACCCATCAAAATTGTAAATGTTGGGATGGTGGATCCCATTTTACCATAAATATTAGTGACAAGATTAGTGGTATAACATGGTATAACCAGCAAAATATGGATGGTGTCCCAAAATGCGGGTACCCGTAAATCATCCACTTATAGATCGGATTTTCCATTAACCATCCAGCTCTTGGGGTTTTTTCATGGAAGCCCCAGCCGGTGCACGGAGCCCGTCCTTCTCAAAGGTGTCGTAGAACACGTTGCAGGCCAGGCTTTGTGTAGCGCCCGGGAAGGGCAGCGGCTGCCACCGTTCTACGCGGCCCGTCTCTGGGGCACACACTGGCCATAAGCGTTTGCCCTGGAATTCCCAAGCAACTGGTGGGAGTTTAAGGAAACTTCAGGGACTCTGGAGGAAATTTTCAGGACTCCTCATGATGGAATCGTGAAGGACTCTAAAGGCTTTTTTGAAGGAATTTGAGGGAATCGAGCGAGGAAATCTAAAAAGTTTGTTTGAGGATTCTGAGGCGAACGGGTGGAGCTGAAGTGGTCTTAAATGAAAATCTAGCAAAAACCTGAGCATTTAGGTTGAAATCTGACCAAACATGAAGGGTTCCTCAAAATTGTCTTTCATAAACCAAGTTTGGGATGGGTTGAACTGAACCTCTGAAAAATGAAAGTCAAAGAATGGGGGCCAGAGGTAGACATCTAAGTCAAGTTCGCGAGATTTAAGCAAGAATAGCTGGGGCATTTGCCAACAACAAACAAGCTATCACGATCACTGCCAAAATTGGCATGTGACATGCTCTTTGGCCTAGGGATGCCGTCTGGGCCATGTCCATTGCCAAAAATGCTGACCGGTCATCGGTCCACATATGTCATCACAGTTGAGTGACATTTGACATTGCCCAATTCGAAACTAGATTGGACTCACAGCCTCCCCCCTGGGTTTTTGTCGATGGTTCTCCTAAGAAATGTTGCCATATGTTCATCCTGGTCCCTGGGATCAGCCTCCGGCCCCAGTGAGTGCCATTCCATAGGCTCGCGTTCCCAGGTGACAGGCAATAGGTAGGTCTCACGGCCCATGTTGGACCTTCTCCTGGGCCAAGGCGGGTGGTTTTTTGGGGAAAATATGGCACCCATGGTCCTACAGGATTCTTTGTTCTTGGTACACCCCTGAAAAAATGGAGGAGTGGAGCTTTAGGAAACTAAACACAATAGATTCAACAGATAAGGATAAAGCATGTCCAGTCTGTCCTATGTATCCTTGCCAACTTTGTAGCCCTGTAGCCCTCATTTTCTTGTTTTACTTCATATCAACCACCTGGGCCCCTCCAAACTTCATCAAACTTCCAAGCGACATCCCTGGGTCACCCTCTTCAGCCCGAATGCCCAAGCAAACCATGTAGCTCCTCAGGGCTGGGCGGGACTTGAAAAGGACACCGGCTCTGCGGGTACCAAAAGAAGCGGCCAGTGCTCGTTTAGTGCCTGAATTGGGCAGTGTTAGCTGTATTTACCCTCTGGTTATTGAACATAGCCATGGAAAATGGCCCATTTATAGATGGTTTACCTATCAAAAATGGTGATTTTCCATGGCTATGTTAAATAACCAGATGGTAAAATGTTTGGTGTCCCGGGTCCCGTCTTATTTTTCCTAACACCCCTCTGATTTCCGAAGCTCCTACCATCCGGCAGCTGAAACAAATCTCCATGCCCGGTGCTGTGCACCCAGTTGTCATAGGAGAGATTTCTCGATGTCAGGATTGGATTGCGATCGTTGGGAAAGAAGGGGCCAGTGACTTTCTCGCCTAGGCCGCACTAAGCTGTACTGGCACTGCTGGTTGCTGGTTGAGATTCCACAGCTGGGGGGACGGAGAAAATGTGCCCACCAGAGAACAGGAGTCGCGAGGTTTACTGTAAACGCATGGCCCATGGGATTCTTTCAGCAAAACACTCTTTTTCCGGACATGGAAAAAACCAACGCCATGCAAGTGGACTGAACATCTCCCCAGCAGAAACCTCCCAAAAAAAGGACAAAAATGTTCGAGGATAGTATAGATTCCATGTTCCCCATTGTTCCCCATTGTTCCTGAAATTTCCAGCTTTCCAACTTTTCTATCGACATCCTATGACTGCCATTGACTGCGGAACCCACCACCCAAACAAACAGGACACCGATGGCGATGACCACCGAATGGTTCACCCCAGTACCACCTTCCGCCGCCATCAAGTAATAGGAGCCCTCGTGTTTGTACATATGCCTCGGCGGCCCTCGAGAGAACCACAGGATTCACCCTGTTCACCCTGATTTTCGGACACCAGAACTTGTTGGGGGAGGAACCCCCATAAGGATAGGAAAAAATAGTACAATCCTATGAAAATAGCGATCAATGATCGATCAATCACTTGTGTATCTTTTTGGGGGTTGCTTTACAGAACATCCGGGCTTGGCATCAAACTGTTGGAGTCATTCTTCAGAAGTTAATGGGAGGTGGAAAGCCATCAAAATGCTGGAAATCCAGCGCCGTCATCTATTCTTTCCATGTTTTTTTTACAGAACTATGAACGTTTAAAAATTTAGAAGTCTCGCTAAATCATATTAAATCCATCCAAATCCCAAATGTCATGTAGTGAGTACATTCCAAAGATGTCCAAAGTCTCCTCATGAAACTCGCCAAAATTCATACGACAAAGCCCCCCCTGAGCCCGTTCATTAAACTCGAGCTACGGACCCTCCACGAAGACACCTCCATGGATGGCGCCACGCCACAAATAGTGTCGATCTCCAGTGAGTTTCCAGTTTTTCAGGTCCAACTCCTAGAGCAAAAACATGGAAAAACCCATGAAAAAAGACCGTTTACCCTCCATGGTCAGCTGAAAAAAGTCGGGAAATCCCTGTGCAAATGGAGGTTTATAGTATAGTTTATAGCTGGGAAAACAGCTATAATACATGGTGGATATTGAAAATTGCCATGCTGGAATGCCAGAAGGTAATCCTTATCTGATCGGTGCATAACCAATGAACCAAGCATTTTAAATGTGTGAAAACTGGGGCTACTGTACCAATGATATCAATATATATATAATATAATATAATATAATATAATATAATATAATATAATATATATACATATATATCAACAAAAGTTGGATACAACTCTACAAATATGAGGTGAGTCAAAATGTTGCACAAAAGAAAACGTCTGATTTTTGCCCAAAATTTTGACCGATACCCTTTGTGTCATGGATATTTCGCCAACAAGGGGATCTAAGTTAACCACCAGCTGACCTCTGGAGCCGCAGGTGGGGTAGCACCATTTAGAAGTTGGGTATGGCTATGGGTCAGTTCACCCAGGGACCCTGCTAGTTATGGATGTTCACCCCCCCGGGAAAAAAAAAAACGCATGGCAAGTCATAGGTTTTGACCCATTTGCATATGGGTTTGTCTGGAAATAAGGTACCTCACAGGAGTTGGTAAACTGGCACTTCACCCGAAAAGTTGGATGACAACTGGGGCCCCCAGACATGGCAATAGATCTCGCCTGGCAGTGACTAACTCACCACGAAAACGAAGCTCTGCGATTCCCATAGCAAACTCATCTTTCAATTATGTGCAGTAGTTATATCATATATATATATACATTGTTTTGCTTATTTACTTATCTATTTATTGATGTGTGTGTGTGTGATATATGCATATATGATATATACATACATGTAGAGAGAGAGAGAGAGCGCTACAAATCAAATCATCCCCATGGTAAACCAACCATTTCCAGCCCGGTGCCCAACCTTCCCCAGGGAAGTTGGGCTTCTCGGGTGCTGCGGTGCCCACGTACCAAACCCGCCCATCGTCATCGAAGAAAATGTCCGGATCGATGCCTACATCGAGACGGGGGAGGAAAGGGCAGGGCACCAAGCACTGAGCGGAATTCACTGGATTTACCAGATTTACCGGTAAGAATATGATAAAAATGGCTGGTGGTTCTGTTCTTCTGGAAAATCAATCCATCGTCGCTGTCGATTTCTTTTAGTGGACTGATAATAATCTGATAATACAGAGATATGGCCTGAAATGGCCAGAAATTATAGAATCTCATATAGTGTCCCAGCCGTAGGGTTGACCACTCGAGAGAACTCTGAGTAGATAACAGCTCCATTACACCCACGGATCTGACAACACCGCTTCTGGATCCGGCGACGGTTGAGGCTTTTAAGGCTCACTTTCTAAGCTTTAACTTTAGATATTGACATCAGGAATATCATGATATATCATGATCTATCATGACCAATTTCTTAGTCCCAGTTGCAAATCCTAGCCCATTCGCTATCAGCACAGGGGGCATCCCACAGGACCTCAGAAACACCTTTGAAATCCCCATAAACTCACCGCCGAGAATTGGTGTTTGTCCTTCTAGTTCCAACTCTGAGTGGTGGAAGAAAAAAAGAAATCATGGCATCTCTACCTTGAAAATGGCCATTTATAGCGGATTTTCCCATTGAACATGGTGATTTTCCATAGTTTTGTGTATGTTTACCAGAGGGTATGTTGTATGATTCTGTTGCCTACCTCCCTGTGCCGAACTCAAACCTCCATTTGCCGCATCCGCCTGGGGCACCCTCGATGACATGAGGATCCGACCAAGGCCCAGCCACATCAGTGGCGGTGATGATGAAGTTGGTGCACGTCCCTTCATCCGAGCCCACTGGCCGATAGACGCAGGTGGTGATGATGTAGAAGGTGCCATCCTTGAAACCTGGGAGGTACATGGAGGTACCCAAAAAAACAAAGGAATCATGGGGATACCTGGGGATCCCCAAGGATTGGAGGTTCAAAGCCTGCCAAAACCCATAAATACTGAAAAGGAGTATGCCTGCCAAAGAGGGAGAAAAAAAAATTCTTCGGACCATGTGGGTTTTTTGGATCTTTTTTCCCATCCCCTCCAAGGTCTGCGAATTCTGCAAGTCACGGATGGACGGCGCCTGAATCCCATCGTCGGACTTGACGTCTATGAGGTTTACAGCACCACTCACCTGTGCAAAGCTCCAACGATCGTGTCAGCTGCCGGAGATTTTCCCCAAAAGATGTGGACGCCCCATGATTTTCCATGATTTTCCTCCAAGAAAAGGACCGCCTTAAGCAATACCCAGCCCATTTCCTAGGTGATTTCCCCCTCTTGATCTATCAAAACCAACGGCATTCCCCACCTGCTCCTGTCGGTGCAGACCATGTCCCGCCCAGCTCCAGTTCACCAGGTCGTTGCTTTTATGGATGGGCAGCCCAGGGAAGTACTCGAAGGAAGAGTTGCAGAGGTAGAAGGTGTCACCGACCTGGTCTTTTTTTGATGTCACCTTTGGAGGAATAAAAACAGTTGACCAGATGGGCCTGTTTTGCCGGAGATGTGTGCCTGTGCCTTTATATTGTAGATTGTTACCTATACTTACATTTAACATTACTTGTTATTTATCACTATATGATAGTCTATATGTACTTCTTTTATCTGTTTATTGAACGTAGCTAGATCCGTGTTTGAACGATATGCCAACTCCTCATTGAGTTGAGATACTGTGACCCAAACCTCTAAACAGATCAAAAAAATAGTGGGGCTCTTAGGGCTGACCGCACGCTGTGAAAATGCCTAAAAATAGCCGGTAGTTATGGATGTTTCCCCCAAAATCTGGCGGTATGGTGATCAATCCCTACTCGTGCACTCAGACTCTAGAGGTGAATGGCGGGGATTGAGACCGGCACAGAATAGGTCTTCAAAACCTACCCAGTAAAATTGGGTCATGTCAAGCCCGGATGTTTAAAACTGACCCGCCAAAAAAGTGATCAATGACTCTTAAAATTGGTACTTCCTATTGATCAACTGGTGATTTTTCAGTGGGTCAACCTCAACTTGGGGGTTTCCGTCATGGCAGGATGCCCTCCACCCCCTCCACCGTCTGCCCAGCGGCCCTACAAACGGAGGGATCTGGAAATCCTCCGGGCAACACGGGATTCACAAAGGTGTCCTTTTCGCCCGCGCTCGGCGAGGCACTTGCGCCACTCAGACATGCTCCGAACATGGCGGTGCCACGGTCGACGGCAGGAAGTTCGGGGCGACTTTTTTGGAGCCCAAACAGTGCCGCAGAATTTTACGACTTCCATCCCCCCGAGACTTTTAAATGAAACACCACCAAAAAGTGCTCCAATGATGTAGAAATTCAGTATTAAAGTATATTAAATCATTATAAAATCATAAACCATATTAAACCATATGAAACCATGGTTTCTAGGAAGTGTTTAATAGGGGCAGGGGAGTTTCCCCATGGGAACCTCCATTTCCAGCTCCACCCTCCAGGGCTCCGGGCGCAGCATCTGAACGAAATACTCGAAATCGATCTGCTTGAGGCACAACTCATAGGCGAACCAGTTGGGCTCCTTGGACTTTAGATACTTTAGGCATTTTGAATCATTTTGAACGGCTTTTTGGCTGAAAAAATTGATCATGTTTTATCATTGTTTTTTCTTAACCAGTTCTATGTGAGACAAATTCTTAACCAGTTCTATGTGAGAAAAATCTGAGATGAAAAGAGATCAACTGTCCTAGTGCAGGATGTTTTACCACTGAATGGGAGGTCGATGACCTTCACCCAACTCTTGCGCTCGTGGAACGCACAGATCGCACAGCTATATAACACTTTGGGAAAGGAATAGCTGCCCCAACTGGTGGCCAAAAAACATTGATACACACACCAGTTTTGCCAAATAGTGACCGATATGTTTTAATGAACCATGCAAAACAACCACGTTGGCAACAACGTTGGCATGTGTTAGTCATTTACAAATCATTAATTATGGGGCCAGATTAACGGATACAAAATCATAGGATAATTGAGATAAGTAGCTGTTAATCATGGTTTTCCCACGGTTTTCCCATACTTCCCCCCCAAAAAAATAGCGGTTTCAACCACAAGTTTCGCCTGACCTCATCCCATCTCATCCCCACTGGGCCTGGGTGGCCTTCATCCATTCCAAGCCCGCTACAAAATCGTCCTGCTGGGGGACCCATCCCCATGGCTGTGACACTTGTCCCCAAACTAGGGCCACCCCTCAAAATCCACCGATTTCGTCTCCTTTTTGGGAAACTCCTGTGTGGGGGAAGCCACTGGATTTGGCTGACCATTTGGCATGCCCAAGGGAAACTACATGAAACGTTGACTAGTTAGTTTCATCCAATGGTACCCCCATCATAGAAATCCGGTGTATCCAGGACGACCTCCGTGCAGCCATACATCGCTAAGAACTGCGCCATATGCATGTCCTGAGCAGAGAAGCTGGGCGTTTTGTTCAGGAATGTCCCAGCCATTCAGCTGACACCGGAGAGATGTAGATCATGTAGAGAGAAAGATAGAATGTATACATGAACTATCACTATCTTGACACCCCACCTTATGAACAAATAGGGCCTGATATAGCCTATTTGCTATTGAACATTACACACCCTCCAGAAACCCTGGTTAGCTACGTGTAGCGAGGTGGTGAAACAGTTCTCCGCCACTTGCACACTAGAAAGTTGATATAGAAATCCAACATGTTCATTGTGTAAAATGATTTATACTTATCAGACTGACTCGAGTTTTATCCGATGATAAATTTATGCATTTTCTGGTTAGTGGTTGAGCCACCATCTGGAAAACTATTTTTTCGGCATTCAAAATTCAGGAGCCCCCAGCAACCAGTTTTGGATGGAAGATGATGGAAGGAAACGAAGCGCCCTTGGGGCTATTCCGGACCCTCCACATGCGACCATTGAATAAAACCAGCTCCACCAAGCTTCGATCAATTGAGCCTCAGCTGAGACGGATCCGTCAACTGGAACTGGTTGGTGGTTGAGCCTACCTGAAAAATATGAGTTCGTCAGTTGGGGTTTCTATTCCCAATCTATGGAAAGTCATAATCCAGCCATGTTCCAAACCAACCAGGGAAGGTGTGGGCCTTTTTTTTAGAATGTATTAGATCCTTGCCCTTGTCCGACCCGCAGGATCCCAACATCCGGCCAAAGGGCGAATTCTAAATAGGCACTCCGCTGTTCTTGCGTATACTCATCACTGGAAGACACCAGGAAAACCGGTCTGTAATTCTCCTGGCGAGCAAAAATGGAATGCAGAGGCCTCAGATGACTCATGCTGGGCTCGCCTCAACTCAACGACCTTCAAAACAGGGTCCAGTAGATTTACGACTTCATGATCTGCAGCTGGCAATAAAAAGGCATCTCCACACCTGGAAATTGCGGATGGACTCCTCAGTGCGGTCATGTCATCCGAATATCCATTCAACTATCCGAACTATCCCAACAACAAGCCCTGGTATTGGAATGTGGTGGATCTATTCAATTTGGAGTTCCATCAACTGGGGTGAGTTTTTGATAAAAAAAAATAGGGGTTTAGGGATGCGAAACGCCAAGTTTTGGTCTAAGAGATGGGAAATGAGGGACAACATGCCACGTCCTGATCTGTTACCCAAGGGCCTGTTTATTTTCGCGGCAAGATTGTCACGTGACGAAGATAAAAACCATGGCAAAACCAATTTGTAAACCATCCCCCACCGTAGAAGAAATAGATGTTCCAAAAACCATCCTCCGAATTGGAGTTTGATGGGGTTTGCCATGGGAAATGCAGACTATGATGGATTTCAGATCGAGCCAAGCCCTTCAAGGTCAATCCTCGTACTGTGGGAGGAGGGTAAGAATTGGCCTTTGGGCAAATTTGCGATGAACCCAAGAAAAACCTCAGGTGGAAAATGGATAACGATCTTAAACAGACACATCATCTTGCATCTTGGCTCTGAAGATTCTTGAAACATCCTGAACTGCAAACCTATCCAAACATGAGGTTTCACAAAAAACGTGCTCGAGAGTGACTAATCCCCCCACTTCAAATCCCATCCAAGATGCTAGTATGTGCGGATTGGTCCGCAGATGTTCCAAAAAGTGGTTCGGCAAGGTGTCACTCATGGCTGACGGCACCGCGTAATTAAAAAAGTCTCCCTCGACACTGGGAATAGATCCAAGCGGTTGGTGCAGGCTAAGCCGTTCCTATCCATGGCAAGCTGCTTATATGACATATTAAAACATATTATCATAACATATGATAACCAGCTGCCAAACTCACACTGAGTTTGGGAGTTGAAAAGGGACTTTCATCCAAAAAGGCTGAGATCTGTTGGGTGCTAAAAAACGCCTAAGAGTTGCGCGACGATGACCATGGATGTCATTGAACAAGGTGCCGCCATAAGACTTCAAGCACAACGGAAATGAAAACAGCAGAGAGACCGCCATGAAATAAATGGGTGCAAAACCCATCCCTTCGCAAGCGGAGCTTGCGGGATGAGGTTCCCTAGTTGGGAAATGGTTTCGTCTGAAAATTTTTGGCACCCCAAAATCCCATAGTTTATTTATAGTTTATATATAGTTATATATATGGTCTATATATACTTTATATAGAAATTATATATAAACAGTTTATATATGGTTTATATATAGTTTATCGTCATGGTTTCCCATGAAGTAATTGCCCTATGTCCAGACCCAAATGGACGAATCTGGTATTTGCCAAAATGTTTCGATCATGTTTCAGAACTTCCAGAACCATCCCGTTGGGCGTGACCAAACATGCGGGAGCCCAATGGTTGAGTAGCGGCCCTTTGGGACACCTGGATGTTTGGATGATATTTTATATCCAGATGATACGTGCTTCTAAAAGAAGCAGTCCCTGTACGTGTAAACATGTCACAACAAGTTGGGTGAACAGTGAACATACATATATCTCGATGTCGCAGTTGTTTGTTGGTGTTGTCTCAAATTTGTACCCCAAAACTCTCCTGTGGTGTGTCATCGTCCCTCATCCCAAAAAGAGGCATCCCCACGTGTGATGAGCATATAACAACCCAAAAAACATGCCCAAAAGTTGGAAATCATCGGGAAAACATCATCTATACTGGATCCCCTGGACTAGTTCGCAAGCCTGGTTCAAAAGTCCACGATTCTTGGCTACCAGCTATGCAACTGGGTAACCCCACAACACTAACCAGTGAAGTGGGGTAATCCCACTATGAACCATCACGAACAATCAATGACAATTATCAACCATTAACCATCATTAACCATTAACCCATCATCAACAATTAACCATTAACCACCATTAACCACCATTAACCACCATTAACCATCATTAACCATCATTAACCATCATTAACCACCATTAACCACCATTATTACCCTCTAGCAACCCATTCTTTCACCATTCACCATTCACCTTGGCGTTCCGCACTCGGCGTGCCGGGCGAAGCCCATGAGGATCACCAAGTTGGGATGCCGGAAGCGCGACAGGACCTGCGAATCATGATAAAATGAGAACAACAAGAGTAGCAATGATGATGATAATTTAATAATAATAATAATCATCATCATCATCATGAATCAGGTCATATTATGATTAAGAAATACTATACATTTATTCCCCACTGAAGGGACAAATCGACCAACCCCTGCCTGAACTTCTTCTTCGAAGCCCGCTTCCTCGGGCACGTGAAGCACCTGTCATGTCGTTTCGGTCATGAAGGGAGGAAGCCATCTGGAAACTTTGCCAACACATTGCCAACACATTGCCATGTTTAACTATGGCAATCTGGGAAACTTTGGGAATAGCCATGTTTAACTTTGTCATGTGGAAACGGGAAACTATGGGAAACTCAACTCGTAGCTCCAACTGACTCCCCATTTTTCAGAGGGAATATGAATACCGATAGCTCCAACTGCTCTCTAGTCTCTTAACCACAGGATAGTTTGTAGCCAGCTCACCAAGTCCTCCTACCTTGATAGCTACCTCGGTGCCATCGTACATGGTCCCTCGGTACACCTCAGCTGAGAGACATGGGGCACCACGTGAGGTATAATTTCAATATAACTTGAATACCCTATGGTACTGTAATCCAACATAAACATCGGAAATGGCCATGTTCGAAAGCAGGACTTCACATCACAAAGGGCTTGCACAACTGCGTTCTTCTGGGCGTTACACGACCCCATCATCACATTTGAAGTTGAACCACGGACCCAAAAAAATACTGGAACGATCGAATGATCGAATGATCCCTCCAGCCTCCCCTGTGGTTGATTGATATCAAAGCATGCATGCATATGTCCACAAACACGTCAATATACGATAATATGTATACTGCACTGACTGCACTTAAATAGTACGAAATAACAATTCTATAGCCCATACAATCTTGTATATCTATGTATACTATGAGTATGTTCCAATCTAATACCCTCCGGTAATTTATCAGTGCGAACCAACGAAGCCATGGCCCAGTCGAAATAGTTGATCATCCCAACGAGATGATGCTTCAGCAGCATTAAGCATTACTAACCATTAGACTAACCATTCTGAACTATTCATAACCATTAACACCACTATGAAGCATTTATATATATATGTGTGTGTGTGCTAATGTGTATATTATATATGTGTGTGTGTATGTGTGCTAATGTGTATATTATATATATATATGTAAATCTCCTATCAAACACCATTCCCCACCATTCACCACCATTCACCACCATTCACCTTGCCACAAATCCCCACCTATGGCGCCTCCGGGACTCCGGACGCTTCCAAAGGTGCCAGAGCCCAACATGCAGCTGCGATCGAAGTTCTTGGTGGACGCCTGTAGGTTTTGCTGTTGCTGGTTGCTGGGATTTTTGTGGGAAACCTATAGCACTATGGAAATCTAAACAACATCTGGTTAGGACAGGAAATCTGTAAACAACATACAACTCTTGATCTTCTCCAACTCGGATCCTTTTGGAGTTGCCCTGCCATATTTTTACAGATCGCTGCGCCGGACGTTGACGGTGCCTTGATCTCTTCCTCTGAGTATTCATTGCTCGCCTCATTGAGATGCGAGTCGGTCTTCGGCCGACCTGGCGGAAAACCACGATATAGGCGCCCCGAAAATTCCATAAGTTGGGATACAAGGGTAACTCTGGTGATAGAGAGATACACATATTTTATGTATACATATATATATATACACATAAATAAATAAATATATATATATGTATATTGAATATGAATGAGAAAAGTAAATCTACCCTCACATCTGATCCTTCTGGAAATTGTCCGTGTCTCATGGGAGTAAAGGAAAAGAAGTGTCTACATGTCTATGTGTTTATTACCGGGATAGATGACCAAAAGGTATGTAGTTCTGGCACATAACTAAAGAGCAGGGTCTTTGAAGATGCGAAAGGCGTGTTTACCCTTGGACGCAGGCCCCCACCTCATACACCCAAGCAGAAGATCATCAAACAATGCTGATGGAATTCTCCTAAACCCTGCAATTCCAAAAGTCAGATTCAGATATTTGCAACAATCTGGGACTCACCCAACGCCATAGAATTCATCACCATTTCTTCACCATTTATGGCAATTGGTGCAATTCATGGTATACAGGGTCTAATGGTTTTTTTCCCAAAAAAAAACGGGAAAATTTCTTGGCATCACCAGCCACGGGCCCGCTGGCCCTGGCGTACCTTCGATGTAGTTCAGAGCAGGATCGATCCAATCGCTTTTCCACCTCTCCAGGAATCCTCCAAAGTTTGCCATGGCTTCATCAACCCTGGGTTTTTTGAGTGAAGCGCCAAGGCGACCTGGAGAATCTCCATGGGTTTTGAGACCTAAATCCTTGGAAAATCATGGGAAAATCATGGAAAAACCCAGTGGTTTTTGGAGGGGTAAATCCTGGAACTGAATGGGCCACTTCCGCAGTTGGTCTTCCTGGTGACTTGAATGGTCTAAAGCTATAGAAAGTGGGTCCCCAGGGTCTGGAATATGAGAATATTGACCCAGCCCCAGTTCTACTGCTTTCAAGAAAGTGGCTTTCTGTGAGTTATGAAGATTGATGGCTGATGCCATTGCTGTTTTGTGTCTCATCATTGCATCCACCTGGCAACCGAAACAGCACGACATTCACATCTTCAAACCTACCACAATCAAATCGTTTCAGTTTCAGGCGACACATTTTCCACCCAACAGCCCAACAGCTACAAACAAACTCGCATTTTTTCTGCGGCAAACACGCCGCTACTCAATTCAGGGCTGCTTGCGTCCTGCCAGTCGTCACACACGGCGGAAGGGTGGGGAAAAATATGCCTCGGATGACATGGGATTCCACTGAGTTGGTTTTTTAGGGAGACTTTAAAGGAAACCCCATGATGTCCAATGAAATGTACAGTAGGGGCTGCCGCAATGGTACATGTTCCCGTTCATCCAATTCAATCCAATTCAGCCATTGTGGAATCAACTGATTGATCATCTTTATCCTATGGACATGGCTATTTCGGAACCCAAATCATTAGAGAAGCTGGCTACATCTTGGTATATCCCCATTTTTTGTATCCCATTAATTCTTCAATATATAGAGTTCAATCACAATTATATCCCCATGACATGCCACATCCCATGGAAGCCCCATCATATCTCCATGAATAGATCCATTGCATCGCCATCAAATCACCCATTTTACCATCGGCTCCTGTGGAAGGCGTCTTCACAGCCTTCCGCCACAGCCCAATCCTGGACATGGCCCCTTTGAGTTCGATGATTTACCTCTTTTGAATGGTGATGTTGCATAGATTCCTTAGATTCCTTAGATTCCTTAGATATGTTGTATGTTAAATTACCAAGAACTGCAGGAAGAATATATATATATATAGTTCAACCCATTCATATGCGTAACTTGGCGCCAGATCCCTCACTGTATGTCGCTTCGAGTTTGGAACATCGAGTCAATTCATGTTCCTTTGAGTGGGGTTTGCCGCCAAACGACTTCAGCAACTTTGGATGAGAAAATTGTTCATGGAATATGGCTGACCCATCCCCATAACACAACCAGTGAGTCGCTTCAAGTCCTGTGGAGACAGTCCATTGCTATCTCGGATTTCTGCATCCGCCTCAACTAATCATGCTTGGTGTGAAGATCCAGAAGATCTGGGTATTTGTTTTTAGCAACCTCCTAAGAGATAGAAAAGAAAATCATGGAAAAACATGTGGTGAATGACTGTTCTATTTCTTGGAGGTCACTATAAAAGCCATGCAACGGGGACATCACGGGCAGATCTTATGTTCCAAACTGCTGCAGGTCGATATCACCAACTGAGCACGTCACGCCAGCGACCAGCAGCGCCTGCGAGGGCAACGGGTTTAACCTATCATCATGTGTCAATCGGTCAATCAAATTATGAGTTTAACATGGAAGTGGCTTAAATTAAGTAATGACAAGTAAGTGGTTTAAGTTGAGTTTGACAAAATCATATCATCAAAAGTTTGGCCTATCATCATGGAACTATTTAAGCCAGCGATGTATATTGATGTGATCGATTGTGATCGATTAAACTGGGATTTTCTGGATACACCAAGGCAGAATCAACAGGATCATCCACTTTGGTTTTCCATGTTCCCCGTTAAATTGAAGGTAAATCCATACAGCCATCTTCTATTGCTGGTGAAATCCCATTCTACCCATTTAAAATCATTCATATCCGTATGAATAATATAAGTCCATAAATTGGTCGGTTTTCCCCATAATATCCCCCATATATGGTATACCCTCCCCAAGCTTTTTCTCAGCCCATTTCCGATGGAAAGCCCCCTCTAAACCTTCATGGCGTCCTCGTGCCCGTGCCCAGCCGCCCAGCTTAGGGCTGAACGCCTGGGCAATCTCTTCCCATCCACCGGATACATTCTGGTGATATCCGTTCATTTTTCGATGTCCATTCATGTTGATATATAGTGGTGATATGATGGGGAAATTGATATCGATATTGAGGATGATGATGATGATGATGATGACGACGACGACAATAAAACAATAATTACAATAATTGCAATAGTTACAACAATAGCAGTAAAACAATAAGAACAATACTTACAATAAAACCAAAACAAAGTAATAACAAAGTAAAAAACAATAATGATGATAATACTAGTAATAATAATGATGATGATAAAAAAATAATGATATGGATATGGATACGATCAACAATTCTCAACACTCCCCAGCACCATGGTGGTGGGGGAAACCACATATTTGGGACCAGGCGGTGTTCAACATATTTCAACATTAGGGGATGCGGTCGTTGAACATGTCCAACAACTTAATCATGACTCCCTGAGGATAAGTTTGGTTGCTGTATGAATGCCAAAAAAAAAGTTGGAGTGATGAATTTAAGGGAGGGTTTATTACTGCTTCGGAACCAGAATGTTTACATCATCGTAGGGTCACTATGCCCAAATGAGAATAAACCCCGAAACAGGGGCAGGAGTTATATCGTACATGTGGAATTTAAAGAAAAAACCAGAAGCATGGAAACACGTTGCAGAAAAAGGCTGGGCTCAGGCCCAGGCCCTGCATGGTCCGTGGCATTCAAATTGGCATTGGCCTGGCAGGGTCTACTATTAAGGGGATGGGATCAGTCACGGCACGTCGCATGATGGGAGACGTTGCGTGGGTTTGCACTTAGAGATCACTGGCAAGCCATATTATATATATACATATATATATATCTTCGCGTGTATGCGACCAGATCTTCATGTTTCGACAGAAGTTGGATTCATGTATATATATATTATATGTCTGGACCGTTTGCAGATGATGAACGGTTCACAGGACGATTTTTTATCTTGCAACCATCATTAATCCCATTAGTTAACAAGTGATTTCTATTGCCTCATTTGAATCCAATGCTGCATGTCAATAATAATAATGAGAACGCACGAGACAGACCCTGTGCCAACGCGTTGGGCTGAGCAGCTTGGCCGCAAGAAAAACCGTGTCAATGATGAAAAACATTGCTCTAGATACTAAATTTCGACCATTCAAATGACCTGGTTCACAAATGCCCCTCAACCCCATCAAATTGTAAAGTTTGATTATCCCATTCTTGACCATGTTACAAGCAGTTGTTGATCCCATTAGAATGAACTAGTTCATTAATCCCATGAAACCTAGTACCCCATTAGCCCCATCCCCCGAATATTAAACACACCCATCGTACGGTCCCAAGTATGGTTTCATCCCCAAACCATGGTTTTTGCAGGGTGTTTAGTATTGGGAGGAAAGGATTACCACCTGGTTATTTAACATAGCTATGGAAATCCATTGTAAATGGAGGTTTATAGCTGGGAAAATCATCTGTAAATGAGCCATCTATACCATGGCTATGTTAAATAACCAGAGGATTATCTTTATTTACTATCCCATGTGGTCCCATTCAACTGCCTCATTTCCCAGCTACGGCCCAACACTCCCCAGGGCCAAAATTCAAAACCCCCCTGTCCTGCAGCAAAGCCACCACCGCCGCCTCATGACCTTCGAGAAAATGCAAAAACATGCAAAAACCAGATGGGGATGGGTCAAAACCCTGGTACCTAGTGAACCCCAAAATAGCTGGTAAATGGATGTTCATCCCACTAAAAATGTATCTATACTATAGGTATTGACCCATACCCAGATGAGAAATAAAGAAACTGACATGCAGCAAAGCGATGGCGAGACAGCAGTTGACAGCGTTTTGCGGAACCCGGAAAAAACATCCTTTCTAGTTGAGACTTGACCGCATCTGTGACTCATGAGTAGCCGCTTGTCTACCCGATTGCTGAGGCCAGAACCACCAGCAGCAGCCCAAATCTCAGTGGGACGATGGGCCATGTACTCACCCTCTAGCCCAGCATCACATTATTACTTTACGTTTGATAGAAAAAACATATGCAAGCAATGCGATATATATATATACATAGGTAGATAGATAGGTTAGATAGATTAGATAGATTAGATAGATTAGATAGATTAGATAGATTAGATAGATTAGATAGATTAGATAGATTGGATAGATTAGTTAAATTAGATAGATTAGTTAAATTAGATAGATTAGATAGATTAGATAAATTAGATAGATTAGATAGATTAGATAGATTAGATTGATTGATAGATTGATTGATAGACAGACAGACAGACAGACAGATAGATAGATAGATACACTATTTTGCATTCAAAGAGAACCCTGCGTCTGGATATGCAAATTCTATCACTGCGTCATTCCTGGACTCATCTCCCTCCAACACTCCACATCTTCTCCCCACCTCAGCCCCAAACCAGTGGTGTTCCACCCTCCTCATCTGCCAGCTGTACATCCGCTGCAGCCCCCAGCAACAGCAGCAGCACGCGGCTGCAGCCGCTGCTGGCCGCCCAGGTCAGTGCTGTGGCGCCCGAGGCGTCGCAGCCGTTCACCGCGGCGCGCGCCGCCAGCAGCGCGCTGACCGCAGCGAAGTGGTTCCCCGTGGCCGCCGCGGCCAGCGGCTGCAGCCCGCTGTGAGGGTCGCAGCCATTGAGGTCCGCGCGAAACGACAGGAGCTCGCGGAGGACCTCCTGGGGCCCAAAGGTGGGATCCGATGGATTGGTGGAAGAGCGAACCTACAGGGAAAGCATATTCAATGTTTGCTTGGGGCTATTTTTGTCCATCATCCTATTTTCGGAGGAATGGTTGCATCCTAACAAAGATGCGATGAAATGAGACTAGGTGAAGAAATGGATGGGATAATCACTCAAAGAAGGGTGCTTCATGGTGCTTGCAGCCAAATTGTAAGTGGCGAACAGCTGGACAAGAGTTTGGCGGACGGGAAAATAATAAAGCGTCAGCTCAGCGCAGGCTAAAGTATATAACTTGTCATAGTTTTTCCTTCTCAATTTTTAACTTTGTAGCGGAAATCCTTCGCATAAATAAAGCAGAAACACCAAGCATATTTGGTCCAATTTGGGAGCGGGACATGTTGGAAAAACAAGTGGCTTGTATTCAAAATAAAATGGTACACCTCACAAATTTGCCACATTGCCTCAATTTACCATATCGCAATAAATCAATACGGGTTTAAGATTTCCCCGGCAGCCCACCACCAGGTGTCCTTTCTTCCATGACTACTGGCAGCCACCAGTGCTGTTGAGCTTTGAGATTTCCTTCCAGGCAGCCCAGCTGGTCGCAATGGATGTACCCTCTGGTAATCAAACATGGCTGGCTTGGTAATCCTATATACATGGAGGTTTATGGCTGGGAAAATCAGCTGTCAATAGCGGGTTTCCATTGCCTGCTTAATTACCAGAGGATGCCATTGTTATTGCAAACATCGAAGCCGACCTTTACATAGTAAGGAACCATGTCCGTGAAAATCAATTCACCCCCAATTCATGTCCCACAGTGACAGGACGTTTTTTTGGTCGTTTTTGCCTCCCCACCAAAGCAACAGTCAAAATGAATCCCCTAATTAATGCTGGCTAGTAAAATGGTTCCTATCTACCCCTCATATCCATTTTCCATTGATAAAACCGGAATTAGGTGTTGTTGTTGGTTTCTATTGCTGAATCCCCCGTTAAGGCTAGTGTACCCCACCTACCACTCCTTCAGTATCTCCAAATGTCAACGTCTCCATTTTACCATCTACCGATCCATCACTTTTTCCCTGAAAATCTCCCCGGATTTTTCCTCTCCAAGTTTCCAAGTCTCCCCCTCCAGCTGCTCCGCCAGCAGCCGCACCACGGCGGAATGCCCCGCGCTCGCCGCCAGCTCCAGCGCGCTGCGCCCCGCCTCGTCGACTGCCGCGGCGCTGACGCCGACGGCAGGGTCCTGCAGCAGCAGACGTACGGCCGCCAGGTGCCCCACGTGGCAGGCGCGAAGCAGGGCATCGCGATCGCTTAAGTCCGCCATGCTGGGATGAAATATGATATGGGATGAGGAAATCATGGAATCCATGGAGTGGATGCATCTTTTTCTTGGGAGAAATGAGGATGAAAGTGATGTTTGTTGGCGTAGGAAATGATGAAATGGTGGGGAAAATGATGATTATAGTCAAATTGGGATGAAATGAGGTGGCACCACCAAGTAACCGAGACAAGAAATTGTTGCCACAAACATCCCAAATTTGAGATTAAAAAAGGAGTTCCTGGTCCCAAGTTTGGATGGCATTTGGCAAGGAAAAGGTGGAGCAGTAGGTTGCTTGGATCTTCTTGGGGGCTCCCATTACATTCCTGCACCATTTCAGGCTTCATTCGGGCTTGAGACTTCCCATCGATTTCCCTTGGTCACTTTGATCGCTGAATGGGCCCTGGACGAGAAAGCCAACGCTTGGCCCTGGACGAGAACAAAGGTGAAAGCTACAGAGTTCGCTATGAAATGGTACATTTTTCTGAGAGGCCACTCAATTCTGAAGTCCTGTCTGAGAGGCCACTCAATTCTTTGATTTTGTCTATCTCAAGTCTTTTTTTTTCCCCACCCAAATCCGCCGGCGCGCGTCAGAAACGAGAGGTCTTGACACTGTGTCAAGGGGGCAAGCGGCTGGGCGAGGGTGGGTCCTCCCACCGGGTTTCGGCGAGGAGCTGGGGCAGGGGGGGGTGGGCCGTCCATTGCCTCCAAATCATCTATCCGACATCTGAAAACAAATTGAACCATGAAATTGAATGGTGGTCTGCTTCCGATTCATAAGCGTGTGTGGATGCATCCCCCTCTTCTGCAGGTGATACATCTAATCTTGGCCTTTATATAACGGTATGTATATTATATATAGATATGCATGCATGCATGCATGCATGTATGCATGTATGTATGCATGTATGTATGTATGCATGTCTGTATGCATCTATGTATGTATGCATGTATGTATGTGTGCATGCATGTACGCATGTCTGTATGTATGCATGTCTGTATGTATCTATGTATGTATGCATGTATGTATGTATGCATGTCTGTATGTATCTATGTCTGTATGTATGCATGTCTGTATGTATCTATGCATGTATGTATGTATGTATGTATGTATGTATGCATGCATGCATGCATGTATGTATGTATCTGCAGGCGTGTGTATTGCTTGTATCTAGCAAGAGATATATACATTCACGTATACATATATATATATATGTGTGTGTGTGTTATAAATCATAACTGTATAACACTGTGTTTAAAAAAAACACGTGATTACGTGTCATACATACATAATACATAATAATACATCCACCACTATCGCAACGCGCGCGCGGGGTTTTTTTCTTTCCGGTCTCGGTCTCGATGATCTTCACGGCCAGAAGTTTCACTGGCCTGGCCGGCATGGCGAACAAAAAACATGCCACACACACCAAGAGAATGAGTCAGTTGGACCCTTTCGATATGGAAAGATATGGATAAATAGTTGGTAAAGAATGGATAAGTCATGGATAAATCTGGATAAATACTGTACCTCATGTTAGTTTGTTGAAAGGCAGCGGCCTGCGGCGCTATTTGCCGTTTCTGGCTGTCAACCACCCACTTTGAGTCTCAACTCCTTTAAATCTGCTTGTGAAGGGATTGGTTCAAGGGAAAATCTAGAAGTTTTCTTCTAAGAGCAATGTAAATGGTCCTTCAACAAATTCTGTGGGCTTGGTTCCTCGGTTCACGAAGAAAAATACGAAATCCCCTAAGACCCCCCACTTTTTGGGCCGATCTTCGTTGGTGGGTTGCTGAGAAATGGCCACCTTGGGACGGGTGGTGGCAAATGGAGCAGCGCTAGATCCAGTCACAAATAGGGAGATCCTACAATTCATGTGGGGTTGGCCAACAGGAAAATCATCTTGGCCCAAATTCCGGCAATTTTGATACAAACAAAGTCTGGGATCGCTAGGAACAAGTCATGGCCACCTTGGTACACAGGCCAAAAATGAGCAAAACAGATGGGGGGGTTGACCCACCAACAATATATAGAGACTACAAAAACCATCTATGATGCAATGAATTTCGAGGGCATGGCAACTGTAAGATCATGAAAGTGTTTTGAGAAGGAATATGTAAATAATACAGCAAATAGATACCTGGAATGTTCAGACAGCTGCCAGAACATCGCCAAACACTCAAGGCTGGGAAGCTCCCACAAGCAAGAATCGAAGAAATTGATTCCAACACCAGTTTAAGAGGTTCTTTTTCATAAAGAACACTGATTTGGTTTTAAACTCATCTTCCATGTCATGCCAGACCTGCCAAAAATGGATGGGCTGCCCCAAGAACCACAACTTGCTTATGATCCTAGTTGTTCCTAGTTACCGTAGTGGGATTGGGATATGTTGATGAGTGATGTGGTATACCCAAATGGTAGACCAATCCGAGGCTTTTGGCACTGGCTTTCCCGCATCCTAGCTGGTTTTTTGAATGTGTTTCCTTAATTTTCCCCATTGATATCATACAAACAACAATGATTTCAATCATGATGGTTTGCCCATTATTAGTGATCATCATCATTCACCATTATCAACCCACTATGGTGATATCAACCCACTATGGTGATATCAACCCACTAATGATGGTTGATGGTTATAAGTGATCCCCATTATCAACATTAATGAGGAAGCATCATTAATCATGGGGTCACTAATGATGGTTAATGATGGTTAATGATGAATCATGATGAATCATGATGAATCATGATGAATCATGATAAATCATGATGGTTTTCAACCCACTATTGACCAGTCTTAATCAAGGCCCCGGGCCGACCCCCCGGGCCCCCGGCCGCCACATCAAAACCGCCTCTGATTCGGCCGAAGACCGTGTGCTTCGAGGCACCTTCTTTTGGTCCCGTCCGGGGACGCGACTTTGGATCCCCAAACGGTGGACGTTACGACGTTTTTGGGGCGAAACCAAGAGCCATAAACCGAGCATAGTTGGAAATCAACCATATGGATTGTAGTTGATGATACTTGATGATAGTTGATTATAGTTGAGTGTCTGGTTGGATAATGTCATAAGTCATATCATCAACTATAATCCGCTACGATAGTTGACCATGAAACTGGGGATGATAGTTGATGATAGTTGATGATAGTTGATGATAGTTGATGATAGTTGCCAACCATAAAAATCTTCAAATGACTTGGGGTGATGAATTGGCATTTACCGTAGTCACATGACTGGGGACCATCCAAAGTCAGGAAAAAATGTGCTGGAATTCTAAAGATAGGGTAAGGCTTTCGAAAATGCCCTTAATGGAAATAGTGAAAGAACCCACCCCCCAAAAGGGCGGTTTCACATCATATGAAGCTGGGGATGTTCACCCTCGAGTACCCGAACCTGGGGAGAACCAATCAAGGAAGCTGTTGTCTGCAATGTTGATGAAGAACTGCGAGCCACCTATGAGGGAAGACAAGAGAACAGGAACAGAATCTTTCATGAAACGAATTTATTTTGTTACATGTTGGAAGCTCGAAATGAATTATACCATTATATATATATACAATGGCAAATCATCCGGCTGGCCATGAAAGCTCCCCCATGCTGACAGAGAGAAATGCTTTGCACAAGAAACCATACCAGTCAAGGAAAATCGCTTCCATCAAGTATATCTTCTAGCGGCTTTTAGTGGAAAGAAACCTCAACCACCATCCAACCACCATCCAACCTGTGTTCGGCTGCCCGCTGTTCGCCATGGAAAGCGTTCCAGGTGCATTGCTGTCTTGAGAACAGTGTTCGTCCTGTGGTGCCAGCGGTTTAGCATCCCCAGTTCTGGGTCCACGCAGTTTACCCCCCCGGTGTCCTCAATGTTGCCACCTTTCATGCGTCTTTCGGTGGCGCCACTTTGCAGATTCTGGAAGCTCCTCATGTCCCGAACAAGATGCCCAAAAGTAAAGTGTGCTTCCAGTATGTGATAAAGATTATGTCTTTTAAAGTCTTCAGGTCTCCAACTGTTCTATTTATGACTAGGGTTTAGCCTATATATTTCAAGTGACCATTGTGGCGTATCCATACCCCTTCATCAAACCGAACAAATTCTCCATCCGCCCCGGAAATTTCTCCCGTCACAGGGGCCACCGCTTCCAGCACCTCGGTCCCCCCAAAATCTGTTTAAAAATCTGGCTTTGGGATGGCTTTGATCGGAAATCCCTGGTCAAACCAAAGGTGCTGGGAAAATCCTGGCCTCTCAATGGGCTGTTTTCCAGCAACCATGGAGTTGACTACCCGAGGCTTATGGCTTATGGATTTTGAATGGTTTCCGCGTCCTCCCAAGTGTTGTGGGAAGATGATGGGTGTTGATCCATCTGGAAGTGGACGTCTTGCTCAAAAATTACCATCCAATCTCTGGTGAGTGATTCCACAAATGCTAGGATTCCTGCCAAAGGAGAGTTGTTGAATAATAATATCAACCCCGGATTCATAAACTCTGACTATTCGTTGCGGGGTTCCCCCCAACAATAGCGTTCTAAGGTACTATTAAAATTGTTCCCCCCTATTTATAAAAACTAGTGGTTTAGCAGAATCTCGGTTTTCCCTGAGTTTCCAACTCTTGCTGAATGGATCCTGGGACGACTAGCTCCATTTCGCAAAGTTGCTGACATGTCGTGAAATTCAGTGGGCATGTTTATCCTTTTGACGTGCGAAAATCAACCACCATCAAAAAAAATGGTCTGTCATCATTCTCCCGATGGGGCGTCCCCTATAAAGCCGGGGGATCTGCTGGAGCCTTGGAGAAAGGACATCCTGTCCTCGGTGCTGCCAGGAACCCCCAAGGATGGACAAGGAGCAAAATCATGGATATCTTCCGAGTTGTTACAGTTGTTACATAACTCATCCACCTAGCGCACATTTTTGGCACACAAGTTTCCAGCTAAACTAATGAGGCCTACTGTAGTCTAGTCCCAGTATAGAACATCATCCCGGCTATCGGATTTGTGTCACGATAAATACAGCACATGTACCTCAACATCCGGTTGATCGTCATCGTCATTGTTCAGAATTCACCTGCACATGCTCGTGGCAGTTGCAGCTCCTGTTACAAGATATTACTCTTGACTGTGTACATATCAGGGCACCTTACATTTGGGCTCCATACAGGGCACTTGAAACTCTTGAAATAGCCTTGAGATAGGTTTGAGCTAGCCCTGAGCGCATACAGTGAAAAGTACAGCTGATTGGCTACAGCTGCTGCGATCACAGTTGAAGAGATTGTACATTGGATTTGAGCAGGCACCATCATCATCATCATCATCATCATCATCATGAACATCATCCTCATCATTATCATCATCATCATTATCATTATCATCATCATCATCATCATCATCATCACCATCCTCCTCCTCCTCATCATCATCCTAGTCATCATCACCATCATCAGCATCATGATCGTGATCATGATCATGATCATCATCATCGTCATCATCATCATCATCATCACCATCCTCCTCCTCATCATCATCATCCTCCACGTCATCATCACCATCATCAGCATCATGATCGTGATCATGATCATGATCATCATCATCGTCATCATCATCATCATCAGCATCATCATCATGAACATCATCCTCATCCTTATCATCATCATCATCATCATCATCATCATCATCGTCATCGTCATCGTCATCGTCATCGTCATCATCATCATCATCATCGTCGTCATCGTCATCGTCATCGTCATCATCATCATCATCATCATCATCATCATCATCATCATCATCATCATCATCATCATCATCATCATCATCGTCATCGTCATCGTCATCGTCATCGTCATCGTCATCATCATCATCGTCATCGTCATCGTCATCGTCATCGTCATCATCATCATCAGCAGCAGCAGCAGCATCAGCATCAGCATCCTCATCCCCACTCAAAATGCCATCAAACTGGGGAAGTACAGTTGGTTTCTCATCATCCGATCATCCGCTCCCCTCATGGCCAAGAGACTGGATCATGAAGTCCGAAATCACCCGGTGAAAATGGAGCCCCTCGAAAAAGCCCTGCCGGGCCAAATCCTCGCCCAAGAAACGGGCTGCTGGGCCCATGAAACTTGGTCATGTTTAGGGGTCAATCATGCTTGTTTTTGACTTCTTGGGAGGAAAGCATCCATTTTATGGGGTGGTCCATCTGGAAATCAGGATTTGTTCGATTGTTTGGGAGGAAAGCGTCAATGCTGCGGAGTCAATCAGGCTTTTTTGATTCGTTTGGACTAAAGAATCCATTTTGAGGTGGTCAATCCTCTTGACCTATGAATGTCCATTCTTAGCACCTGTCCAAGTAGGTCCTAGAGGCTGAGAAAAACGGGATACATGGGGCCCTGGATCCATCATCCAGGCAAACTACCGACACCCGAGTTTTCAAAAACCTTTCCAGACCGAGTTTTCACCTTCCAACCTTTTGAACACCCCCAGGCTGCCGCACAATGAAATTCGAGGCCGTGACAGGGACCTCAGTCAGCACAGGACTGGGAGGAAAACTTTGAATTCAAAACTGAAATCCTGAAGTATGTCACTATGTATATCCAAGATTTACCAACTTCACCTTTCAAACAAATTGTCTTACTTGGGGGTGGTACCAGCTCATTTTTGAATCTCGAAGGATGCGTGCGCCAAACAAGATCTTGAGTGAAGAATAGATGAAATAAGTCGTCCTTATCAGCGGTACTATCTAGGCATGTCCCCAACTGCACAATGTTCATTCGAAACACTAAGAGATGTCGCGACATTGCTTGAGAACCTGAGTGCGGCTTTTTGCAGCGACATTTTCGGGGAGGAAGCTGAATATTTGCGGCCAGCAAACTGGCGGTCTGGCAGGCTGACTCCAACACACTCCCTGGTGTCCAAGTCAGACACTTCGTTTGAAGATGCCAGAAAAATAAGTGAAAGGTAAATGTGGCCGGCACGACTCAGCCAAACACCCTAGGGCCCTAGGAACCAATGTGAAAGTGAAAAAATCACCAACCTTAGAATGTTTGAATAGTTTTCCATTCAATTGCAATAGGGTTTTCCCACTTCTCTGTTGGCTTCCCGGGCGACATACAAAGAAAAAACAAAAACGAGGCGCTTTCGCCACGCCAAAAGGGCAGAAGGGGAGCACGTGAGTCCTTGACAAGAACTAGGAGTGAAGATGTATCATTGGGTTCCAATGTCACTAAGTTCCAAGGAAAATGACAAGAACATGTTCTGATTACAAGCAAATTTGCCTGAACTCGGCTATGCTCAGTGCTGTGACCCTTCTTCCCCTCAACATTCCGGTGCAGCACGGGCACAGCCCATGGACCCCTGAGCCCGCGGCTTAAAAGGCAAATCTGCAACAATCACAAATCACAATGGTTTTGTTTGTTTCTCTACATGAGTCTGAAAATTGGGTATGCCTCCAAATGGCTATTTCAATCGGGAAAATGATGATTAGTCATTAACCTCCCAAAGATTCAATCTACCTTGATCCTTTCTACCCACACCTTCGAAATAGAAGAGCTGGGCGGGTCGCGCATCTCAGGGCTGTGTGCTACTGGACCAAGTGTCAATCCATGACGAACTGAAAAGCGCTGCTGTTGGGTCATGAACACCCCCCGTGCTCGATCACTAAAAAATGACATGTTGGCGGACATGATCACACAAAACGGAGGATCAGTAGGATCAGTTCATTATCGATGCATCTACCGACAAACCAGTCGTTTTATCATGTATCACAATGTATCACACAATGGAACAGGAACTGGTAAACATTCCCCCAATGGACATAGTTGACATAGCGATGCTCGTCATCACGACACTTGCGCCCTCACTAAAGACTTTTACAAATAGTTCAGCATCTGGGCATCGCCAGCCGCACCAAGAACGGCCCGGTGAAAAACATCGACTCACCCAAGTTGGGCCATTCGTTGACGTACCGAGCCCTTAGAAGCATGGCTTCAAGGAAGTGATTCCCTCCTACGGCATCAAGAAATCTACACGAAAGGCCATTAAAACACCCAAAAAAAAAGCAAACATGGAGTCAGTGGAAGCCAACCTCACTTCGATATCCTTGTTTGGGATGTCAGGACACGTGCTCCTGGTGCCCCTTGTGCCTTTAAGACCGTAGTCCCTGGAGATATCTCCACATATAACCCAAGAAAATTAACCATACACCCCACGCATCCTTTCCAAATAAACTGGCAATGTTCATTGGTTACATGATCCTACTGTTTGCTTCAAAACCCTATTCCTGCAAGTGTTCCGTTTCAACTTGCTGTTGATCATTCCTCATTAGCACTTTATACACGCACATGCATGTGCATACGCATGCGTTACATGTGCCTTCCGACAATAAATGATATTATGATATGATATGCCCTTATATGGTATGGTATTATTGTATGATATATTAGATTATTGTCTATAAATATATGTGTGTGTGCGTATATATACGTATATGATGTAAATAATACAATATGTAAATTTATGTAACATAGTACATAGTAAGATAGTACATAATAACATAGTAACATAGCATTCATAGTATTCATAGTAATTAGAGTAACATAGTATGCATAGCAATTATAGTAACACCTATTATGTTAGGCTATATTCTGTATACACATAATACATCTCCGTGCCGTTGGGGATCAGCTGCAGCCACGGCACCTTCTTGCAGGAGCCGTAACGAAGATCCCAGGACCAGTCGGACCAATCCCACAAGTCTGTCAGCGTCCGCACCTCCAAGGTATTCATTTATGTATATTTATTTATATATATGTATGCGTATATATGTCTTTTTTCCTTCAGGGTTCCCAGAGGCTTCCGCCGCGACCACGCATTCAATTCGGTCATTTGCCAAGAAAGGCACCACCTGCAAAGTCCGGGCCCATTTCACTGCTATAAACTTTACACTCCATTGATGAGCACCGGTCAACAAAATTGCAGGGGATCTGCACATTTGCATCCACTGGAATGGCACTCAGTGTCTGCACAAAAGATGTGGCCATAGCGCCACATAGGGCAGGGGGGTACTCCTTCAGCACAAATGTGCGAAACTTCCCATCATTTCCCTGACCAATGCTTGCCACTTTCGGCAAGTCATCCACTACGCGCCAAGATCTAATCTGAAGTCCCAGTGAAGGAAGATTCAGCGAAAGCAGCATGGTCGGCTTAGCTGAAATTGCGCCCAGAAGGCCTTGTGCAAATTCCCATAGCTGAAAGCCCGGCAGCTGCAAGAGTAGGTTGATCAAGGGCGTGCTCCAGATGGATGCTGATGTCTCTTTGGGGGGTCTAGCAGGGTGTTCCAGGGCACCGCATCCCCCAATGATGTAGAGGACAGTGAGCATGGTAATACAAAAATGCATCAGCTGATTGCCTACCAAAATCTGTCGAATCTCCTTCAGTGCCAAACTGTCCAAACCCCAGGGCTGGGTGGCTGTGCGAATCACACGGGGTCCTCCACGTCCATGAGCATGAAGCTGGTGCTCACGTGCGCGACTCCATGTTTCACACGGGGGACCTCCTAAGAAGGCTACAACCCATTTGTTCATGGCTGCCGAGATCCAAAATTGTCTCACGCGCACATCGCTAATGTCACCCCAGCAGCTGTCCAAAACAATATCCACCGACAATGTATGGAGAACAATACCTGGATGAGCCTCAGCAACGGCATCGAGAAAAAATTGGAAATCACCCTGCCTTCTGCGGCCTGAGAAGGCGTGTAAGATATATCTATGCACACCAAATCCTTGCGGCTGGGGGTGTCCAGTGGCTTGCACTTCTGCATTGTCACATTGCCATTCCAAGTCTGCACATGAGACCTCTACATCTGTTTGTTGGGACTGCACCAACCATGGCCATGTCTGTGCATCCAACATGTTGTCCAGAAACGCGTCCAGATCTTGGCGGCTCATCTGAAACGCCTCCAGATCGATAGTCTGGACATGCTCACGGAATTTGGCAAGAGTGTGACAAAAACTGGTCCAAGAGAGAGTCTTCCTCTGAACCATTGTACGCAGAGCATTTTGTTTCTCACTCATGTCAGTGTGACTCATCAGGATCTCAGCACATTCCCCAAAAAGGTCCGTGTCAAAATCCTGAACATCTCTCTGGTGTGGTTCTGGGAGGCTAGGTCCCTGACTGATCAATGGTGGCACTAAACCATCATGTAGTTGCTCCAACACACGATTAGTGACTGATCCATGCCCTTCACATGGTTGCAGCATGGAGTGCCTTCGCTGGAGACTCATGCGGCACGGATGGGAATGGCGGAGATGGTTATGCAACTTCCCTAAGGTGTGGTACTCTTTCATACAGGCTTCGCATCTGGTCTGGTCGAAGAGGTACCTAATGTTGGAGAGCAATCCATGGCGTCTGAACATGTGCGCCCCCTCCCCACCTTTGGAGCGGAATGACATGCGACACACAAAACAACCATAAACGCCCTTCTCAGGCGGGCCATGGACAGGAATCCGCTTGGCATCTGGCGGCAATGTCAAGTGTCCATGACTGCTCAAAAGCTCAATGACCATCTGATGTCCCTGCTTGACCACCCAAAGATTATGTCGCTGCAAGATGGCATGCTGCAGCGCACGTTTGATCAATCCCTTCCAATAGTTGCGATGATACTGCCAGAGATACTGCCATGCAGTAAGATCCTGGTGGGGCTCGGAGAGTCCAGAGCTGTTGGACAGCTGCCTCCACATCCATGCAAGATCATCCTGAACCAATGCACACCATTCTGAGTCCCGATTGAGGAGATCCCAGGTCACAACATGTGAGCACGCATGCAAGGTGCCAATGTATCGCAAACGAGTCTGGCGTAGGAGCTCTGTGGGTGACGGGACATGCAGTTTGACCAAAACTTCCTCATCAGTACTGTGGTCATCATGTGGGCAACCTAACAGTCTTCGATACAACTTCATGATGGCCGCATGAAGAAATTCTTTGGAACGCATATCTCTGAACACCCATGACTCGCAACCGTACAGCATTTTGCTGAGGATCAGCGTATTGAAAAGCTGCGTCCTTTTCTGCAAAGGTATGCTTTGGTTGTGATACAAGATTCTCCTATGCGTGTTGAAAGCAGTATGTGCCAATGCTACTCTACGCCTCATTTCGACTCGATGATCTCCTTTGTAGTGCAGGATGCCTCCGAGGTGCTGATATTGTCCTACAACTGCAATATGGCAAACCTCTTGCTCGCAAATGATGGTCATGGTGCCAGAAGCTGTTGGGCCAAACACTTGCTTTTGGCACTTGCGAACACCACGACCTCTGAGCGAGAGGAGGAGCTCGGTTTTGCCTTTCTTCAAATTGGGAGTGAGGCCATACCCTTTCATGGTGTCCAAGAGCAAGGAAGTTGCTGTGCCCGCACGGCGCAGTAACCCATCTGGCGTAGGCGCCATGAGGCATATGCAAACATCGTCCATCCAGACAGGGCCTAAGTAAGGTACCTGCACTGCTGGACTGTCTTGTGTACCAAAGGGGTCAAATGTGGGAGTTGCTGCAACACGTTGCTGGAGACCTACTTCATCGAGTTTTTGTTGAAAACTTTTGAGGACTCGAGAGAACAGATAACTGAAAACTACATCCGCAAAGCAGTCGCCTGGCCGAGAGCCTACAGATGTATGACAGCAATCCTCTTGACCTTGAATCTGAAAATACGTGTCGGTATGCAATGCTCTCAACACCTGCTTGAGATGATGTGGGAGGCATGCTTGATCCACTGCACTGGGTTGCCTCAGATGTTCATGTAGCTCATGCAATGTGTCTGAGGTCATGCCGAGTTTGTGGACTATTTGTGCAATTTGTTCATCGGAGTATTGTCCACCTACAGCCAGCGGTCGGAGAACACGATAGAACGCTTCCGTGAGGTCCACCATGATAAGTCCGACGGAGTGTCCAAGTTGTTGGCCATTGCGCAAAAAAGCGCGTGCTTCATGCAGACCTAACGTGACTGGGACTTTTTTCCTACCGCCTAGCTGCTGTGCGCACAAATACTGTTCATACATCGTGGATTGGTGCTGACGAATCGTTCTGTGTAGAACTTTTCCCATGTGTGAGCTGATAAGCAGTGAGCGATATGAGGTAGGGTCTGTGGCAGGACCTTTACCTTTGTATGCTGGCACCAGAGTACCGCCTTTGTGATGCAGAGACTCCTGGCCATGGATGATCATCTTCATAAGGGCAGTGAAGTATTGTCTGGCCAGAAGTGCCGGACATGCCTTACATAGTTCAGGCGGAACTCCATCAGGCCCAAGTGCCTTGCCTTTTTTGACACGACGAAAGGACATCTCCAAGTCGGTCAGACTGGGAAGGTCTGCAGGGCCAAGGTCAATCTCATGCTGCTGAAATGTCTCCAGTGAAGCCTGCCATTTGGCAGTGAGATCTTCCCATGACATTCGGACTCCTCCTTCCATTTGGCCAAAGAAATCAATCCATGTGTCCCGCAGCTGTTCCGGTTGAACGCAGGTGTGTCCATTCGGATTGGTCAGCATGGGAAGGGTCGGTTTCTTAAGGCATTTCAGGTTCGTAGGCCCAATGTGTTTTTTCACTGTACGCAAAACATCACTTGCAACAACATCAATGGGTAGGGCCTCTACGTCAGCCTGGATGGCTTGAAGTCTCGCACCCCGCAAAGCCTTTTTTAATTGTGTGGCCAGTACATGCAGTTTCACTCCTTGATGAAGCTTCCAACATGATAGCGCAGCAATGTACGGATGGTAAACTTGCCCATACGAGTTCACATCTGGAGAAGGCTTGTGGGACTGAGCTCTCCAGCCTATCCAGGCCGCACGCAATAGTTCCTGACGGAATCTCTGATCAATGCTTTTGGCTATCCTGCGGCATTGAATTTTGTCGTTTCTGAGGTCCCAAATGTCTGAGGTGATGAAGCTCTTTTTGGCCTGGTTGGGTCGTTTGCGACAGTGCTGAGCCAGGCAATGCATCATATGCTGATTGTGGCTTTCGATATGTGTGTGAATGTCTTGGTCCCAGGCTGGAACCGCAAATTGTGCCAGTTTTACCTGAATACTACCATCAATGGATTTCTCTTTGCACGGATGCCAAAGCGGGACGGCGACTTGGAAGTTGGACAGGTCGCTGCCACTCCAGTTCCACAGCAGTAGCACAATGATCGAGGTGTCCATTCCCTAAATCCAGCTCCTCAACGACCCTAGAGAACTTGCAATCTCCACATCTGGCAACAGGAACACAAACATGCTCAATACAATGCTGCGAGTTACCATCTGGAGTTGTCCATGTCTCTTGTGGTCCAGAATGACAAGAAAAAGTGGCTGGCAAAGCCAACTGCCAAGTTTCAAGAAATTCACGGAAGAACTTAGTGGATTTGGACACTTTTGTCTGGTTGGGTCCTACGTGCAGGCCGTCCGTATGTCCGGGTTCTGCATTTGCATCCAATAAAACATAGACTTCATCATCACGGACGAACGTCAGCAACTGTGCATTCAAGGCTTCCCACCATGTTTGGCGCTCTTGTTCAGGTGTGCCACTCTGTGGCGCATGTGCCACAACAACCCAGGCTCGCCACATGGGGTGAGAAATGTTTGTGAGAAGCATTCGAGGATCTTTGTATGCTACCACAACATTCTGCTTTTGCAGAAAATGAGCAGTTTTGCCGGTGTAGGCAAATGGTTGTGCTGTGTTGATCCATAATTCAACTCCATGATGGCCTTTGTCGGCCCCACCTCCGAGCCTCAGCACTTCATCAACATGTG